CGTTGCTAGTTCTTCTGGCAATGCTCCGGGAAACACGTCGGGCCAGTAGGAAATGTAGTTGTTCCTGCTAGGGTCGAGGTGGTGGAGACACCCTCACCATCTCGAGAGATGGCCCAAGCTACTGACTCCGGTGCCGTTCCGCAAACACATTCAGACCCATCGAGCCTCAGTTCGATGAATGTGTTTGAGTCCTTAGAGGAGCTAGAGGTGGAGTGGTCTAGATCAGACCCACTAGCTTCTTGGACGGCCTTAGTCAAAGCCCCTAAGGGTGAGATGTTCGTCAGTGAGGTTGTCATTGGCGGCGGCAAGGCTGGGGCCTATTATGACACTTGCTCGACGCGGAACTTTATTAGTCGCGCGTGCGTTGAGAGACTGCGCTTACAGGGGCGGGTGCAGCGCCTGAGTCGACCTGTGGAGTCGACCTGTGGCAACAAACAGCGCATGGTAGTTAACGACTGCCTCCAGGATGTAGAATGTTGTTTCCCGTACGCGGGAGGGGACTTGAGACATTGTGTCTCGTTCCTAGTGAGCGATGAACTCCCCATGGACATGTTGTTAGGTATGTACTACCTCTCTGTGGCAAGGCCTCAGTTTGACTGGGACCGAAAAGTGGTCAAACACACTTTGCCAGGTAGAGGGACCGCCAGATTACACAAGTTCAAAGCTAGTAGTCTGATAGAGTCCTACGGGTGCATGTGTGTGGCCGCGTTTTATAATTATTATAAGCAAAATCAGGAGGAGGGTATGTACTTAGTTTATGTCTCTGCTGCAGGCGAGCCGGTGAAAATGCCGTCGGAGATAGAGGGAGTAGTTGCTAAATACCCTGATCTATTTGAAGAGCCGACAGGGGTTGTAGAGAGGGAGGTCGTCCACGCAATAGAGATTATCCCAGGGTCTAGTATTCCGAAGCGTAGGATCTATCGGATGTCTCCAGGCGAGCTTGATGAGCTTCGCCGACAACTCAAGGAACTCGTAGAGAAGGGTTGGATCCGGCCGAGTGTCTCTCCTTATGGGTCTCCATTACTATCCGTGCCTAAGAAGGAGGGTACTCTTAGGATGTGCATTGACTATAGGGGCCTCAATGCTATCACTGTAAAGAACAGAGAGCCCCTACCTCGCATCGGCGATTTGCTAGATAGAGTGCAAGGGTGTCGGTACTTCAGTAAGATAGATCTGAAGTCCGGTTACCATCAGATTGCAATCCGGCCCGAGGATGAGTTTGTGGTAATGCCTTTTGGCCTTTGCAATGCTCCTGTCACCTTTCAGCACGCTATGAATCGGATATTCCATGACTACTTGGATAAGTTTGTCACCGTGTACCTCGATGACATACTTATTTTTAGTAAGACTGTCGAGGAGCACGTTGCACATTTGGACAAAGCCTTCAGACTCCTGCGACAGCACAAGTTCAAGATCAACGGTGAGAAGTGCGAGTTTGGCCGCACCCGTGTCTTGTACTTGGGTCATGAAATCTCCGCGGAAGGGTTGAAGCCCGATGACTCGAAGGTGGCCAGCATTTGTGATTGGCCACGTCTTCAGTCTGTGACTGAGATGAGATCTTTCTTAGGAATGACACGCTACTACAAAATTTTTGTAAAGAACTATAGCATAGTGGCCGCTCCTTTGACTGATCTGACCCGCCTTGACACACCGTGGGAGTGGACAGACGAGTGCGAGGCTGCTTTTAGACATCTGAAGCATGCGTTGACGCACTACGAGGTCTTGAAACTTCCCGATCCTGACCAACCTTTGGATCGAAGTCATTGAGCAATATGACTTTGACCCTCAGTATCTCAAAGGGGAGTACAACAAGGTTGCTGATGCCTTGTCGCGCAGACCGGACTTCTCAGGGGCATTGATTACCGAGTTCGATCTGACGGACAATGTTACTCAGTCTTTGGTGGAAGCCTATCGCGAGGACCAGTTTTTGTCTGAGATCATACGCAGACTTTAGGCGAAGGACAAGAAGACTTCCGCCGAGTTTGAGTTGGTCAATGGCTTGCTGTTCCTGGAGAAGGCAGGGAATAAATGTTTGTGTGTTCCAATTAGCGAGTCTTTGTGTGTTCCACCGGTCATTTTGGGTATAAGAAGACCGCAGCCAACTTGCTGCAGCGGTTCTGGTGGCCCACGATGATGAGAGATGCTCAGTTGTATGTGGAGACTTGTCAAGTGTGTCAACGAGACAAGCTACGTACTCAGGCTCCTCTTGGGCTTATGAAGCCCCTTCCGATTCCGGAACGGCCTGGTGAGAGTCTGTCCATGGATTTCATGGATACTCTGATCACCAGCAAGAGTGGGATGCGGCACATCTTCGTCATCGTGGATAGATTTAGTAAGTATGCTAGGTTAGTAGCCATGCCAAAAACAGCAAGAACGGAGTACGTGATCCGAATGTTCAAAGAAAACTGGGTTAGAGACTTTGGTTTACCCAAGTCCATTGTCAGTGACAGGGATGTCAGGTTTACCAGCGAGTTGTGGAAGGCTGCTGCTGCAGAGCAGGGCACTCAGTTGCAAATGACTTCCGGGAATCATCCAGAGGCCAACGGCCAGGCCGAACAACTGGATCGCGCGGTACAACACCTGTTGAGGCATTACATCAAGCCCAACCAGGTGGACTGGGATGAAAAGCTTGCTCTCATCGCCAGTCTGTATAACAATGCGGTACACAGTGCCACTGGGGTGAGCCCGAACAGTCTACTACTGACTTTCAAGCCTAGACTACCTCTTGACTTTCTCCTACCTGAGAATGAATCAACTGCTGCACCGGGTACGTTAGAGTTTGCCTACAGATACGAGCAGAAAATGCAGCAGGTGGTAGAACAGATGCAGAAGGCACAGGCAGCGATGATAGAGCCGAAAACAGACACCGTTTCTACATTTCAGGTTGGGGATGGAGTCTGGGTTAAATCTTCAGAAATGGGACAGGAGTACGGGATATCCCGCAAACTCATGCCTCAGTACTTTGGACCTTGGGAAGTCTTGGACATCGTCGGGACAGATCCGGATGGGCCATCATATGTTATCCGGATTCCTGGTCATCTTCGTACTTACCCTGTCTTTCACGCCTCCAAGCTGGCACCTTTCAAAGAAACTGACAGTTCCCATCTCGTCGATCAATGCTGCCCCCAACCATGGACGGAGAGGTGGACATTGATGATATTGTGGATCACCGAGAGCTGCCGGTATCAAGACCAGCAGGCAGGGGACGTCCTCCGAAACCGAAGCTGCAGTACCGCTTTCGGTTCCGGCATCACACTGATCCGAAGGAGGACCGATGGTTCACCAGGGAGGAACTGATGCAGACYGCTCCTCAAGTTGTGACTCAATACGAGAGATCTCTGCAGAAAGGAAAGCGCCCTATGATCGAAGATTGAGCTTCTCAGAGGACTGTTGAAGCTAAGGAGGAGGGAATGCGAGGCCACTGCCTCTAAGAGCCTCACAAGGCCCCATTTTTGCAGCCCGTCGGCCGCCCTAAGTGAAGGCAGGCCCTCAGGGCCCTTTTCTGGCCACCACGCAACTCAAGGAAATTCAGGCAGTTGCGCAGCGCCAGTTGGTTGAATGAACCCAGGCCCTGGGCCGCCTGTGTGAATGTATGTGAAGCAGGCCCTGGGCTGGATACGGGTACCGGGCCAAACACAGGACGAAAGCAGTTGGGCACAAGCAACCACTTCAGGCCCAAGGCCTGCTCCTCTCGTGCTGGGCCTCAGGCTACCGGGGCCTACTGGAAGCTTCCTGGACTGGACTCAGGCAGGCCACTTCGATATAGGGAAGGGCCTGCCTCCTCATTCGGCATTCGGGTGCTGGCTGCATGCTGCGCAAGCGCTGCTGCTGCGCTATTTGCTGGCTGGCGCCTACGCTCTCACGGGCGAGCAAGGAAGGAGCACGCAGCCATAGCCGAGCTGCGCTGCTGTATGCTGGGTGAAGCGCAGGGTGGTCCTAGTGGCATCTGTGAGTTGGGGAACGAGGTTGTGAGTGTAGCGCGAGACATACCTGGTGCTGGAAGCGTGCGACATAAGTCGCCATATGCTCGTACTTCGGGAATGCAGTTGATGTCATCTTTCGGCTTCGTAGTACAGGCTAGATAGGATCTGCCACATGTAGTCTGGGCGCCGAGGGCCAATAGGATATCAACTCTGGTTCTTCGTTGATGATGATGGGATTATTTCAGCATTGTCAATTATGAACTCTTGGTGTGTTCTTATTTGGTGTATCTCGTGATGCAATTCTATCTGTTGGTTCGAGGTCAAGACTATCTGGACTCATATGTATGATGCTGTTTGATTGCTGGAGTTCGCTATTGCTCATCTTCCTTGCATATATCCAATATTGCATTTTATTTCTTTTAATTCATAGTTTAAAAAATGAGAGTGAAAAAGAGAATCATGTAATGAATCAATATTTATCGATAAATCCAAAAGATAATTCAAATAGTAATACATAGAAAAATCATAGTATCATTGATACATAAATAGAATTCTTGATAAATCTATTTTGGTTTCTATTTTCTTCTAATTGAATTGTTCTGCAAGTTTGATAGAACAGAAAAAATAGAAATACAATGAAAAAGAAAGGATTCTAATGAATAAAAAAAAAAATATCAAGGAAATTCTGAGGGCACTCCCATCCGCAGTAAACACGAGTGATACCATTTTGTTGTAGATATCGATCACATAGGGTTTGGGGGTTGCTCAGGCCTTGATGCGTTCTGTTGCATCAGTTTTGGAAAGGTGGTGGTATGCAATGGCTCATTTGGGTACACAATGCCCATGCGAGAGTTTTAATTTTAACGTGTGTTTCTGTTCGGTTTTCCAGAGTTGATTGCAAATCTGAACATTGAGTCCTTTGTCATATAATGCAGAACATCAAGACCTTTTACGCCTTAGAAGTTCAGACAGGAAATGTGTTCTGTCCACGAGTCTTGCCAACATGTACTTTTTCTCATACCCAGTCCAAGAACTGACTTGAGCTTGCCATTGATGTTTATATTTGTTGGTTTGCAGTCTGCTCTTGAGGCGTGAGTGCTGCTCTTTCAGCAATGGAGAATACATTAAAGCTGGATTGGCACAGCTGGAGCATTGGATCTATGAGGCTGGAGAGGAGGTGAGCAAGAAGTAACATGGGCAGGCCTGTCTTCCTGCGCACCCAGCAGCATGTTGTGGCTCTTCTCAAAAACCTTATCAGGAAGGCTGGGGTTCTCACTTTGGTGGGGCATGGCTGCAGGAGAAGAGGTTAACAGAGCCCTAAAATTTCAGGATTTTTTCAGGGTCATTATAACGAACGTCCCATACCTTTTACGCCAGACTTGTCACCAGTAGAGTGGACACCAAATAAACCAACAGCAAAAAAAATAATAAAAAAAATTGATCAAAGGGGCGCATGCAAAATGATCAAAGGGGCCTTAAACCCCAAACTTGGCACACACAGACCTTAACCAAAAATAAAACAGGGCAAAAAAAAAAAAAAAAAAAAAACTGGAAAAAATGATCTCCAATGCACTTTTCAGGGTTGGGGGTGTTATTTTGGGGCTGAATAGTGGGGGTCCTTGTTAACGTTTGGTGGGCTGCAGGCAGTGAACTGTGTTTGAATCATGCTATTTTGTAACAAGCTATTCTGTAGATCTGTGCCCATGTGATAGTCTTGCTCTCGTGAAACAATTGGATGTAGTTCTGTCTTGAAAAGAAGATGATGTGCACCCCATCGGTTGCTACACATCTGAACGATCATCTTGAGAAGCCAGAAATCTCTCTCTCTCTCTCTCTCTCTCTCTCTCTCTCTCTCTCTCTCTCTCTCTCTCTCTCTCTCTCTCTCTC